TCAAGCACATTTTATAGCATTTCACAATCAAGTAACTTGTTGCTAGCAACCAAGCAACAGGCTAAAACATCTCCTTCTAGTTCTATATGACTAAGTTAATTGCATGACTTACAAGATGCAATGAGGTGTCCATTATGCCTCACAATCAATGACTGGGCCTGGGGCAGAAAAAACCAACCTAGTATCATCCTCGCTGTCTATATCTGTCACATTAAGTTCTGGATTATCCGAAGGACTTTCAGCCATTTAATAATAGATCTACAAGTCGAGGCTACCGAGTAGATACCGGATGTATTTTGATGTAGGCACATAATTTAGGTACACCACAGCCTTTTTTAGATTTTGTGTTGTGTGTGTGAAAGATGCAATAAGACCTATTACTTTGATAGTAGTGATAGTAAAATACTGAGCTAGTCTATGAATAATGACTGGTCACATCATTTGTTTAAAACACAGTTAAATAATATTCTTTATAAATTTTAGCTCAAATTATAATGGCAAATCAAGACTAAAAATGCTTAAACTATTATCACTAGTTTGTTCTAAAAAATTAATACTATAAGTAAGCAAAATTTCCCATTGACACGACTTTATTAATCTTGTAAATGTTTAGAAAACAAGGAAATTCCATGGTGCCTTTCAGCTAAAGATAAAAGATGCTTCTTCTGTTTCTCGAGATTATCAATTAAATCAGAATGAGACTTCACCTTATCCTGATTACATTTCGCTTTTTTCCTCCACTATAGATTGCATAAAATTAATTTGTTTACATGCATGATTGTTTTTACTTACTACTTTAACTATAGTATCCATTCCTACTCTCTGTTCAAAATAATGTTGCTCCATGTCAGCTATGTGTTTCTCAACAATTTCTTTGTGCTGTTTTAAATAGCTCTATTGTTTTGGGAAAAAAGAGGTAATAACACTCATTGTAACATTACAATGTATTTTAATACCTCTATTATTTTGGGTTTAATCTTTTGAAAATAGTCATGACATCCTGCCATGAAGTGTTCTTCCAATTCCTTAAGGAAAGCTTCAATTTCAGGCTTCCTTCAAGCAAATTAAAAATAATACACCATAATGTATAATGACATACAATAAGACACGATTTGGATCATCTACAGCAACACCAAAACTATAAAAAATGAAACAATTAGAGCTATAGATATTTTAATATTCACTTCTTAAAAATTTTTTGGAGTCTGTAAAATAAATTATAGTGCCTATAATTATGATTAAAAACAATAATACTATAGCTAAAATTATATCTTTTTTTACACTTTGCTTTGTTTAAGTAAGTCACCTAACTTGAGATCTGGGCTACATGATATAAATAGCAACAAATCAAACACAAGGAATAAAAATCCTTACCTATCGACTGCTATTCCACTGTCACTGACAGATTCAGAAATAATGGAACTTTCCTGTAAATGAAGATCCTCTACAAATTGCAATAAAGCAATCATATTAAGCTATTCAAAAAAACCTGTTCATACCACATGTAGAAGTAGCAGTATCACAGTATGAGGCCAGATACTGTTCTAACTTTTGTCTAATAATACCTATTTGATACGTTGACTTGCAAACAGCTGCATCCACTTCTCTAAATGGAAGGTCTTTTAGATCATTTATCAATGACTCGTTTTCACTTTCAATTATTTTTTCAGCCCCTACAATGTATAGATTAACATATTTATGCAGCATAAAGTTTTAAATGCATAGACAAACTTGAGTTGAACTGCTGTTGAGTGGTAATATATCCCTCTTTTTCAATGTCTTCTCGAAATTTCTCAAAAGTTTTTGAGTGTGATTTGGACACCTCATTAATTTTACCTTCATTTTTCTAAAAGTATATCAACTGAAACAAACAGATAAGAGATTGACAACACCTTTAAATCTTTATCATAAGCAGTTTCTAATTCTGAGCAAAATTTGGACTCTTTATCATAGTTAGATTTTAAATCCGCTGCTAATTTTTGTAATTCATTCATGATATCCTTTTTTTCCTTTACTTTATCATTATACTCTATTAGAATTACATTCATATCTAATTTATCAAAAATACTAACTATTTTCAAGTTTCACAAAGCCTTCCTTAATTTCATCTAGTTTTTCCATAGCTTGGTCCAAGTATCTAGTGCAATCCCTTACAATATTGTAGTGCCATAAGTAATGAGAATTACCAGCAATTTCAATAAGCCTGCATTATGAAGCAAGGTACACTTAAACAAATTCGTGGTAATTAACTTACTTTTCTTCCAATAATGGTACTTGACTAACTATTTCCATCTCTTCTGCAGTAGATACATCTAGCTTTACCATCAGCACTTTCATTTCTTTATTTCTCTTTCCTCCTAGTTTCTCTTTCCTTGCCTTAAGAGCTCCAATAGCACACAGAGGTACAATGCAATCATCTGGAATAGGCACACCTAAACACCTGCACTGTCGCTGGATGACCTCCTTTATGCTATCAATACGCTTAGGGATTTCTTCATCATTGCCAGAACTTGAATCATGATCCTCACTGTCTGAATCTGAGGTTTTTATATTAAACTCATCAAGCCTTGTTACAGCAATGAGGATTCGCCTTTCTTCAAATGCATCTAAACGAAAGGATCATAGTTAGACAAAATGGTAGTTTATAGTTATATTGTACTGTACAGCTGTATAGAACTAAATTTTGTGAGTTTGCAGATGAATCAAAAGTACAAAATTCAAATCTGCAAAATAATTAATGCGTGACCACAGTACATTATGCTATACAATAACTGTCAAAACTGCAAAAATTTAACTCGCAAACCAAGTTTTTTAAGGATCTGCAATGTGTTTCCTCGAAAATTACACAGCTGTACAGTATATCATAAGTGTCTTAATTTTCAAGGTGATAAATCTTCATGTTTTTATGGAAAGATTTATTTTTCTTGTATTTTGTGATGGATGTAGTCTGGCCATAAGATATAATGGAGACATGGTACATCGAGCTATGGCGAGAACTCAAGAGAGAACTTCTAACAGCACCATAATAAACACACTTTAGCAAGTTCAAAAGTATACTAAGATAAAATGCAGTTAGTATGCCCAAATGTATGGGTGTGGTAAAAATTAAATTTAGTGGATATATTTTGGATTATGAAATTAGCAACAACTAATATACTTTCAAAATTACGATGCATAGGGTTGATAATTATAGCTTAAACAATTATGTGATTAACTAAATAATTGTATCATTCAAACTTCCCCATCTGTGAGCAAGTTATACACACGGTCACTTACTTGGATCCCTCAAAACAATAGCTCTCAGTGAGTCAGTATCAATAGAATCCTCCAATTGTTGAGATGATATTACATAAACATATATAGCACAGGTCATCAATTGATACTCTGATACTTCAGAAATCCCTAAGTCGTTTGATTCAGACAAACCAGGAGTATCTAACAGCACAATGTTGATATCACCAGTGGAACAACGACATAGGAAGGGAACGTGAGCTTCTAATTCATCAACTGCAATTTCCTATAAAAATACATGTCTTAGGAATCAGATACTCATACTTACTGCAGTGTTTTTTCGGATCTCATCATTCTTATTTTGAATTGCAAGTCGAATATCTTGACGACCTGTAATTGTTTTCTTTTTCATTGATAAAAATTGCTATATGAATAATACATGAATTAATATTTAAGAGTTCATAATAATTTACTCCAGTATCTGTAATACAACTGCTTTCATGATGGCTGCTAGGCTTATGACAAATTCTTAAAATAAAAGCTGTTTCATTTGTATTAGCTACCGATAACACTCTAGAAAATAAATTAATCAAATATACCCTTGAGATTACTGTATTTGTCCCTCACTCATGATGAAGGAGTGCATTCAATAAAGTGCTCTTTCCAGCTTTGTGACGTCCAAACACACCAATAGTGAGGACTTTATTCTGCAAAAGGTACTCCGTTTCTTTTAGCCATTTATTATTAGGTTTTTTAATTGTATCCAAAATAAGCTGAAGTTGAATAATAAAATAATAATTTGAATTCTATTTACTTGGCAGGTTTCAATGACGGATGTTGGTAATTCTGTAGTTGTGCTAATGAATTGTGGTAATTCTGTAGTCGCACTAATGGATGGTAGTATTTCTGGAGCCTTGACAAATGCTATCAAATAAAATTATTCTCATGTGTTAAACATGCCTCTCACATTTGAATATAATACAGTAAATGTAGAAATTTCTGATGGGTTTGAATTTTGACTATTTGCTTTAGGCTCCAAAATTTTAATTTCTAACTGAATTGAATTTCTATCATCACATATTTATGTGTAGGTATTATAGCTATAATATATCTTTACATCCTAAAATTCAATTCCAAACCATTTGTGGCTGGTCAAAGGTTGAAAATTTCCACGTTTACACTAATATATTACATATTTTACCTTGATTGAGTTGGTTTCCAATCAAATTTACTTCCCCTGAAAAAAGTTTTAAAAATCTTTTGCCAGAAGAAAATATATTTCCAGACAGTCTCTCAAAGTAAGTGCAATTTGCATGCACATCTGCATCATCTTGTTTCATCACAGGAAATTCTTCAACAGCTTCAGATACTTGAAGAACCTAATAAATATAAATTATATAACAGACTATAAGGTTTTTAAATGTATAAAATAATGGACCTTGTGCAATGAATACTTTTTGCACACCCAAATTGGCGGTAAAATGGCACGTTTTTGGATTGAAAAGAAGCTGAACAACCTCTTATATATTAAGCTATCCTTGCCGTGGAAACTACTTTCAGCCCTCTTTTAGTTTCATCATTAGGTCTGGGTGTTCCATTTGAACAGTACAGCTCAAATTGCCATGGATTGAATTAAATTTAAATATTTAAAATTGCCATGGATGTGATGGGTCACCATGAATTTCAAAATTTATATCCTATTTCAGTACCTAATTTGCAAAATCCCTCAAAAATTAATTTGATCCATCATCTATAATAAAGCTTCAAACCCATTAAATTCGACTGGACAAAAGAAATGTATACAAAATTGAAAAGTCACCCACTTAAAACTTACATTTGTATGCTGCATTGATGAGTTAATATTCCTAAATTAAAAAAACACTTTAATCACTGTTATATATAAACTATTATCCTTGTATACTGCTACTGGAGCTTTGTTTAGTCTCCTATCATTCCCATGGTTTTACAACAACACCTCTTGTTGCAATACAGTAGCCAGACTGAGTCACAACTTACATGTATTTTTGAGGGTTTAGTATTAATTTTTGTTTAGAATAATCAGTAGATTAATTTACTGGGTTTAGTTTCTGCATAGTAATAACTTTGCAGTTATTTAATTAATTGACCACACCCCAATTGTTATGAATAATGAGCCCTGATTAATTATGATTATGTAATCGTACATACCGTATAGCAAGAAATTTTCGTGGCCCAAAATTTTCACAGATCAGTCTAAAAATCAAATTTGTGGCTTTAATTTTTGTGGTTTTCTACTTTTCGGCCATCTTGAACCGTATTAAATTGATTTTCGTGAATTTTGAAGAAAATGCAAAATCCACGAAAATTTTGGGCCACAAAAACTTCTCGCTATACAGTACTATCGTAGGTCGGGTTATATTTGCGGCTGCTAATATTCGCAATTTTTTCCCGTGGCTATCAATTGCCATAGCAACTAGATATATACTATTTTAATTGAAAATGGCGTGGTATTGAAGCACAGCACCAGGTTCCTATGCTCTTGAGCTGTTATTCTTCTTGCTGTTACTAATCTTAGCCAGTTCTTTTCAGAAATACTCTACTCACTCTGCCTTGCCGTGTCTTGGGACTTAGTCTCCACCCATTCTAGTTAGTGTTTATTAACTTGGGTGTAGTTTATAATCATGACTGCCGGCATAGATATTAGAGTTAAAAGGAAACTAATATCTATGTAATATCTATGAAACTAATATTTAACTCTAATATCTAGGCTGACCATGGAGCAGCACTGATTTTGTAGCAAAGAACTCGAAGTTAGCGGTCCATCTATACAAGATAGAGAGCTGAAGTCTGGATGGCTCTAGTAAAGCTGCTAAAGAATAGCTAAATTAGCTGCTGAACACTGTTCAGCAGCTAATTAGCTATTCTTTAGCACTGTAGTTGTATAAACACGTGGCCAATTGTCATGGCAACTATCAATTGGTTTCCATGGTATTTAATTAAACTTCTTTATTAGTTTTTATCACCACGAATATTAGCATAACCTGACCTACAGTATGATAACTATCAA